ATTGCTTAGTTTGCTGCTGGGAGCCTGAGTGATGTGCCAGAGGCTGGGAGACAAGAGCCAGGGGACCCTAACCAATGGGGGACGGGGCACGGCAGTCTTGCCAGAAGGTGTCTGCTAGGCTGCAACCCATTAGGCAAGGACACGTTAGCCAGGCATAGGGGGCAGGGGAAGGAGGAAACATCAGGTACAAAACAGAGAGTGCAGAGACTAGAGCATTCAAGAACCTTCTAGTGGGCTTCCCTGGTGGCGCAGTGGTTGAGAGTCCGCCTGCCGATGCAGGGGACACGGGTTCGTGCCCCGGTCCGGGAAGATCCCACATGCCGTGGAGTGGCTAGGCCCGTGAGCTATGGCCGCTGGGCCTGCGCGTCCAGAGCAAAAATTCACATCAAAATAAACAAAGAATTCTTACAACTCAACAATAAGAAAACAAACAACCTGATTTTAAAAGGGGCCACCTCACCAAGGGAAATATACAGATAATAAGCACATGAGAAAGTGCTCCACATAAAGCCATCAGGGAAATACAAATAAAAACAGCATCGAGATACCACTACACACCTACTAGAATAGCCAAACTCCAGAACACTGACACCACCCAACGCTAATGAGGACGTGGGGCAACAGGAGCTCTCCTGCAGGCTGGTGGGAATGCAAAACGGGACAGTGACTTTGGAGGGCAGTTCAGCAGTTTCTTACAAACGTAAACATACTCTTACCATACGATCCAGCAATCACACTCCTTGGTGTTACCCAAAGGAGATGAAAACTGACGTGCACACAAAAGGCTATACAAGGATGTTTCCATCACCTTTATTCATAACTGTCAAAACTTGGAAGCAACCAAGATGTCCTTTGGTGTGTGAATAGATAAACTGTGATACATTCACACAATGGAATATTATTCAGCACTAAAAAGAAATGAACTATCAAGCCATGAAAAGATATTGAGGCAACTTAAATGCATATTGCTAAGTGAAAGAAAATCTGAAAAGGCTACGTACTGCATGCTTCTAACTATACGACATTCTGGAAAAGGAAGAACTATGGAGACAATAAAAAGCTTGGTAGTTGCCGAATAAGTGGAGCAAAGACTTTTAAGGCAGTGAAAATACTCTCTGATACCGTAATGACTGACACCTGGCATTATGTCACCAGCAAAGCCCACGAACAATTCCCAGGAAATAAAAACAGACTCTGGGTAATAAAATAAAGTCTAACCTTTTCTTTTCCTTTGTGCTCAGTGTAGCTTCACTTGCTGACAGGGGGCCCTGTGCAGAGCTCTCACACCCGGCTCTTCAGACGACCAGAGGTCCTGATGCACAACGGCGGTACCAGCACCTCAGCTCGGGCTGCACAGGACACCGCCATTCAGGACAGCAGCCGTGGGCTCTGTGCACAGACGCTGCACACAACACGCAATCCAAGATGGCGGCCGCACTGCGACCTGGAGCCTGAGCAGCGGTAGCGGTTGCGCCTGCGCCTGCGCCTGCGCCTACGCCTACGCCTACGCCTACCCGGGAAAACCCCCCCGGCCCCGCCCCCTGACGGCTCCACGTAAAGCAGCCCCGCCCATGGCTTGGCGGGAGAGTGTGTGCTCTGGAGCCGGAGCTCACACCTGCCCATGCTCTGATAAGAGAATGACGCTTTGCTCTGCTCTGAACCAAACTCGCTCTTGTCCTGTTGGCGAGAGCACGGTACCAGGCAGGAGGACCCTTGTTGGGGCCCAATTGGAAAGGGTAACAGTTGTAAATTTGTCGAAACCCGTAGAACGTACAACACCAGGCACAGTGCACCCTAACGTAAAGAATGGGCTTTGGGTGAGTGTGATGTGTCAGTGTTTTGTTCATTGACTGTTAACAAATGTACCACTCGGTTGGGGGGTGTTGACAGTGGAGGACGTCATGCGTGTGTGGGGCAGGGAACATCCGGTAAATGGCTGTACCTTCCACTGACCTTTGCTGTGAACCTAGAACTGCCCTAAAAATATTGCCTTAACAAAAAAAGGAAAAATAGTCTTATTCATAATGGAGGAGAAAGCAAAGTATCTTTGAATAAATAGATACAAGAAACATAAAACTTTAAGTAAGCTATAGAATTTTATTAAATGACATAAAACAAAATGATCCTGGATGGGAAAACAATGAAATACTATGTATCCTCCAAAGATAATATAATGATTTATTAAGAGTTCCAATTAGGGGCTTCCCTGGTGGCGCAGTGGTTGGGAGTCCGCCTGCCAATGCAGGGGACAGGGGTTCGTGCCCCGGTCCGGGAAGATCCCACATGCCGCGGGGCGGCTGGGCCCGTGAGCAATGGCCGCTGAGCCTGCGCGTCCGGAGCCTGTGCTCCGCAGTGGGAGAGGCCACAACAGTGAGAGGCCCGCATACCGCAAAAACAAAAACAAAACAAAACAAAATAAATTGTTTCAATCAACATGTGGTACTTTTACAATAAAAAAAAAAATCATAAAAGGCCAAGAGACTTGTGTACCAGGTAGAAAAAGTTCTGCCTGTTTTTTTATATCCACGATGAAAGAAGCAGCGCCAGGCAGAGGGAAGATCCAGCCCCAGCTGCCCAGGTGGGGAGGGGGAAATGAAGGCCTGTGGCCTCCTTCCAGGCTTGCAATTTAGAGGACGTCCAAGCTGGCTGTCCTGCAAAGTATCACAGTCAGTGTCCTATGGCATCCCATAGCACCAGGCCACCAGTCCTAACACACCAGGGCAGAGACCTGTGACCAGCACCCAAATCCTGTTCTTCAACCAAGGTCACTGTCTTCACTCACAAGGTCACACTGTGGTCCCCATGCCTTTGGCCTCCAGGTCTACCTTCACTGAGAGAAAAGAAAAATTAAATCTTCAGCTCTTATAAATGACTCCAATAAACTCAAACTCATGTTATGAAATTCCTTTTAAGAAATAAATAATTGAAACGTTGACACTTGGTGACATTTGCTTACTCAAATCTGCGTGTTGGTGAATGGCCTTGACTTCCGTTTCTGAGGAATCGCAGGTCAACCTGCTACAAACGTGGCTCCTCGTAAACTAAGAAGGGAGGTCAGAACTCACAACTGCGCTGGCTTTTTTAAAAACATTTTTTTTGGGGGGGTATTGCAATTTACCTCATCCATGTGATTATTCACTTGTTGAATTTAAGTGGAAGGGAAATTTGATACTCACGCAAAGAGAGGAACCTTTTATGGAGACTTCCATCTGGGGAACAGATTTATGAGGCTTTTTGGGACCCAGAATAACTTTACTGTGATGAAGCACGAGGCAGGGCCACCCCTCCCCCCGCCCCAGCCCCCCAAACTGAGCGCGTGGTGCTCGGAAAACCGAACGCAGAAAGATACCCAGATGGAAGGGTTCAGGGGCCATTCTGGTTGAGACCTGAATAAAGCCAACCTTTTTAGAGAGAGTTAAATAGAACTGAGCTATCCTTTAAGTGCTGAGCTTTTTTTTTTTTTTTTTTTATGACCTCAACCAGGCGGCTGCTCTGGGCTTTAGAAGCTCAGTTTGAAATCCAGGGAAGGAAGTGACAGAGCGATGTGGCAGGGCAGCTGCCAGTCTCAAGCGAACGTATGCAGGATGTCACAAAAAGGCACGGGAGCTCCAGGAGCCCAGCATCGTGCCTAAGTGTATCCTTCCCCTCCAAATCACGCAGTGGCGAGCAAACAGCAACTCAACGGCGTGACGTGGGCTGAAATGGAATTAAAAGTGGGCGATTTCATAGCAAGATTCACAGTAGGAAGTAAGGTGGCTTTGCCACAAGTTTATTGTCAGAAACATCTTTCCGATCATTTTTTGTTTGGCTTCACAATACAATATTGAAAAGGGGACCCCAAAGTGCTCTTCTGGGAGACTGGAAAGCATTTGGACCCTCAGTGCTAAAGATGACGCAGCACGGGAAAGCAAGCAGACAAAACTGAAAGCAGGGGCTCGAACAGAAACAACAGGAGCCTAGGAGTTCCCTGGTGGTCCAGTGGTTAGGGCTCCTTGTTCTCACTGCCGAGGGCCTGGGTTGGGGAACGAGAATCCCAGAGGCCACGTGGTGCATCCAAAAAACAAAACAAACAAACAAAAAAAGAAAAACAAAGAAATGGCAGGGACCTGAGCCATAAGCTGGAAGTGATGATAGCCAAACTATTCGTAGTAGCCAGAAAGCGGAAACAAACTGAGTGTCCATCCACTGATGAATCAATAGACCAAATGGGATGTATTCATACAGTGGAATATGATTCAGCCTGAAAAAAGGAAGGAAGTTCTGACACACACTACACCATGGATGAACCTTAAGGACATTATGCTCAGTGAAATAAGCCATCACAAAAGGACAAATACTACATTATCCCACTGATATGAGGTCCCTAGAGGTAATCAAATCCATAGAGACAGAAAGTAGAAGGGTGGCTGCCAGGGGCTGGGAGGACAGAGAAATGGGGAGTTAGTGTTTAATGGGGACAGAGGTTCAGTTTGGGAAGACGAAAAGGTTTTGGAGATGGATGATAGTAATGATTGCACAACAAAGTGAATGTACTTAGTACCACTGAACTGTATACTTAAAAATGGTCAAAATGATAAATTTTATGTTATATGTATTTTAGCAGAATAGAAAATTAAGCAGGCAAGGCTACATTTTTCATCAATTCAACAAGCACTCTTTGTACATCTATTCCACGCTAAGGACGCGTGCAAACAAAGCCACACATTGAGAATACAGGATTAATAATCCAATTTGGGTTTGGCTCACGTACTGCCAAACGTCTCACTGAAATTGAAAGTAAGTCCACTCAATTCTTTAAATATTTCCACCCCAAAGTTCAGACTCCTAAAAATTACATGTTCCCAAAATCTGACTTGCTTCTGTGCCAGTTTAATTTCCCAACTCTCCTCCTGTTTGCTTGTGGCCAGAAATATGTTTGCAAACTATCGATTCAAATGTTTTCAGGGTAGCGAGCTGACTCTGTATCAGATATAACCTTGATCCCAAGCTCCTCCCAAAGACCCCGAACTATGGCTCCTTTGAAGCTCCCACTTCAGTCTGAGGGACTGGCCTGGAGAAGACAGCCTTCCTTTGGGTGGGAGACAGGGGACATAAAGACTCCTCGAGGGTGACGCACCAGGCAACAGTAAGTTAAAAATAAATCCAGTTCTCTTTAAGTTTCAGTTCATTAAACAGTATACGGCAGTGAGTGCTGGTGGGGAAATCTAGACAGGCGTGCATTTCAATGCCGACCCTGCCGTGAAATTCATTATGTGATCTTGGGCAACGCAAGTTTCTGAACCTTGTACCCTCAGACTGCCAGTGGGGGAAAGAATTGTAATTACAGAGGGCAGAGTTCTCAACAGGAGGGGCCTGGAGAGGGAGAGTCCTGCTGCGGGTGGAAGGACAGATCACAGTTGATACCATGACCAGTAATTAAAACACATTCTATATTCAAAGAGGGTCATTATAATCACAGCTTCGGGAGGATTTAATAAGGACAGATGCTGAAGGCATCTGGAAGAATGCCTCATAAGTAGCCAATATTATTAATATCAGCCCCCTTCAGGTCTCTAAACAAAATGCTTTTGCAAAAGTCCCTTCTGGTCAGGGTCTACAATTCTTTTTTGCTTCCCTTCAAATCTTCCCTTCAAAACAACATACAATGTACATAAACTATGGGGCTTAGCCTTCATCACGCAGGTTTTCACTCGTAGGTGGCATTTCTTGAGCATCTTCTGGGTGCAGGAGACCTGGGTCTGCCTGAGGCAGCGGAAACCACACCGGGAACAGACGACTTGCTTCACGGGAGGTGGGTAGCCCCAGGCGTGCAGATGCAGCCCAGGCAGTGGAAGTCTGCTTACTCGCTAAGGGCAGACATGACCACAGATCTCGGGACAGGAAGGCCTTGGGAGCTTGTCCGCTGACTCTCTTGTAGCCATAACTCATATTTCCTTTGCAGTCTCGCATGGCTCATGAGCAAAGCAGAGTGGCAAAGTTAGCCCAAGTCACTAGGGCAGATCCTAAACATCGTTCTTGCCTCCTTTTAAATCCAGGACTCAGCTCAGGCCCTAAGGAGAGGCAACTTAGCATAATGGCAACAAGCACAATCATTAATGTTAGCGAGACGTGGATTTAAGTATTGGCTGTGTCACTTAACACTGGGGTGACCTCAGTTAAGAACTTAACCTCTCTGGGACTCCATTTCCTCATCTATAAAATAGAAAGGAAAAAAATATTTACGGTTCGTGAAGATTAACTAGGTCAGAGCACGTAACACAAGGCTTAGCACATAGTAACTGCTCAATAAATAATCATGAATTAGGTCACACAGGAGCAAGACCCAAGACCCAACATTCATTAGCTTTTGCTATGTGACAGGTACTGTACTAAAAGCCTTACATACAGAACTACTATCTCAAGTTCACCATAATTTTATGTGGTAAATATTATCTTTTCATAGATGAAAAAAACAAGGCTTGGAAAAATAAAACACCCTGAGTAAGACAACAGAGCCAGGATTCAAAGCTCAACTATAGTACTCGAAACCTCTCTTGCATCTCACCTCCCCGGAGGTGTGGTGATTAACCCTCACCAACCAAATAGGTGTGTTATGATAATGTGCACTCACCTCCCTCGAAAAGTACGAGGGTCCACTGGTACCACGGATCTGGAAGACACAATCTGTGTGAAGAGATAGACAATGCAAAGTGAAGCCATTATGAAAAGGCATGGACCCTGCTAAGAGAACCATAGTCTAACAGGAAAAACAGGCAGGACACACAGAACAAACCCAGTGCAGGAAAATCAGAGCAGGGCCAATGCAGGACAAAAGGACTTTGTTTTTCCTTTTCCTTTCCTTTTCTTTTCTCTGGGGGTGGATTAGGTGTTCATACCCCAGACAGAGGGCCACATCGGTCATCACCCTGAAAGGGACTTTAAAAGTTTGCTTTGACTTTATTTTTTTTAATGTACCATTTTTTTTTAATATTTATATATTTATATTTATTAATTATATTTATTTTGGCTGCACCGGGTCTTAGTTGTGGCACGCGGGATCTTCGTTGCGGCATGCAGGATCTTTAGTTGCAGCATGCAGACTCTTAGTTGCTGCATGTGGGATCTAATTCTCTGACCAGAGATCGAACCTGTCCCCCTGCACTGGGAGCACGGAGTCTTACCCTCTGGACCACCAGGGAAGTCCCACATTTGCTCTGACTTTAGTTCACTTTGGCTCGAGAAGCTTTATGAGAAATAGCTATAACATACACATATACCCTATTCACTTTGTATTTGCTTCAAATTATGTTTCATTCAGCAGTTGTGCATCCTGAATGAGTTGCCATTTACCTGTGGGGCAGCAGGGAAGTCAGCAGGACTGGCTTTGAGGGGCCCTCCTGCTCCTGGAAGGAGGAGATGGGGCGGCCCTTTGAACGGCAGACCTGGCAAAGACAGAACCCAGGGCCTAGAAGCCAAATGGCATCAGAGTGAGGAGGGTCCCCAAAGCCCATGGGTCCAACCCCTACCTCCACCCCAAGCCAATGCTTGCAGCCCCTGAGCAGGAGAGGGTCAGCGACCCTTTAGCCCCTGTGGAACGTTCTCAGGGGACTCACCACCCACTGCCGCCCCCTCCTAAGACCACTATCGTGTGCCTCTGACCATGACACCTAGTTTAACCCCTTGGGTAGGAATCTGCTTAGAAATATGTTCACAATATTACTCAGCCATCAAAAAGAATGAAGTAATGCCATCTGCGGCAACATGGATGGACCTAGAGATTGTCATACTAAGCGAAGTCAAAAGGAGAAGACAAATACCATATGATATCGCTTATATGTAGAATCTAAAACATGATACAAATCAACATATCTATGAACCAAAAAGAGACTCACAGACATAGAGAACAGACTTGTGGTTGCCAATGGGGGAGGGCGTTGGGGGAGGGATGGAGTGGGAGTTTGGGATGAGCAGGTGTAAAGTATTATATATAGAATGCGTAAACAACAAGGTCCTAGTGTGTAGCACGGGGAACTATATTCAATATCCTGTGATAAACCATAAGGGAAAGAATGTGTATATATACGTGTGTGTGTGTGTGTAACTGAATCACTTTGCTGTACAGAAGAAATTAACACAACACTGTAAATCAACTATACTTCAATAAAATTTTTAAAAAATAAAAAATAAATGAAATTTTAAAAATATGTTGGGAATTCCCTGGCGATCCAGTGGTTAGAACTCAGTGCTTTCACTGCTGGGGGTCCAGGTGTGAACCTTGGTCAGGGAACTAAGATCCTGCAAGCCTCGTGGTTTGGCAAAAAAAAAAAAAAAAGGAAAAAAAATGTTCACAGATTAGGTGCTTTTGCTAGCACTTAGGAGTTTACCAATGAGAACAGAATTCTCTTCATTTGAGAACAGGTCCCAACAGCGTGTGTTATGTAAAGTCTCCCCTTTTCCACGTAGACACGGTGTTTTCGTGGTTTCCTGCATGTGGGCCCATCTGCGCTTGTCCACTGTGGCCTTGGTAAGTCCATCACTGACCCAAGCCCTCCTATTCCCACGGCCGAAGCTCGTGAGCCCAGCCCGGCTTTAGTGCCCAGAATCAGGACCGACCCCAGGCAGGAGGGGTTTATGGACCGTTAACCCAACCCTCTGGTACTTATCATCTTCCTTGACCTCATCCAACTCTGTCCACTATTTCGCCCACCTGTGGTCTCGGGGGCTTCTCCAGACACCACACCCCTGCCCAATATTTCAGTTCGAGAAAATGAAATCTTCTCTCATTCCCCTCGTCTGGAAATCCTGGAATTTCTGGAAATCTGCCTAGTGTCCCAGTTCTTCTCAAATCCCCCTGGAACAGGGTTCTGCTTTGCTTTTGCAAGGTGTGGGGTGTGCTGCTCTGAGGGCCTGCCCTGCCCACGGGCAGCTCCGGCATCTGCTCTGTGTCATCTCGCCCTGCCACCTTGGCCTCGGCTTACCGGACCAGGTGTCAGGCCTTACCCCAAAGTAGCCACCTAGAGACCAGCCTGAGAAGGCACTGTGACCCCATCCCCAGGCCCATCCTCAAACTCGGTCTTTATTGTTAAGGATTTCTGAATATAACACACATCGAGAGGATCAACAGGGAGTAGATGGTAACAGGAAATAGCCTGCAGAAAGCAGGAGTCACGAGACAGCAGAGAGAAGAGAGTTTGAAGCAGCAGGAGAGCAGCGGGGAGAGAGCGGAAGTACCACAATGTGGGGAAGTCACCATTTCTGAGGGGAGAACAGCTGGTCGCTAGGGTAACACTCAACCTTGAACAACCTTCCCGTTCCCCAAGAGGCCTACGGAAGCGTCTCCCACCTCCCCCAAAACCCCGTCTCTGGGTGTCCCTCCACCAAACCCCCATCACCTGCAGCAACCGGCCTCAGTCTCCACTCTCCACTGCCTGAAATAACCAAACTAACTCAGCAAACATCCGTCCCAGGGGCCGGGGCCCATCCCTGAGCCACGGCTGGGCCTCGCTTCCCGCTGTGTCCACTGAGTCACGCCCAGGCCTGTGCTCAGAAGACAGCAGCCTGTGGCCCTCACCAGCTCCCAGGACCACCACAGGCCCCAGAACAGGAAGACCTGAGTTCTTGCTGTCTTAGCCTCTTCTGCCAAGTGACAGAAACTTCCCTGTGGTTATTTCCTCATCCATGAGCTGAGAGTGACCATACCTGCTCCACACACTGGCAGGGATGCCAGGGGCATCCAGTGAGGTTGGAAGACCAGCCACACCTGCCAGAGGAGGTAGCATCACCTGGGCGATGAATTACCATCCCCCCGTCAGTGCCCCTGGTCGCCCCCCAGCCCCAGTTTCTGGGGCTCCCATCCGTCCTGCCCCTCAGACCCACAAGGCATGCCATCTGCTGCTCCCTTTGACGGTAACTCCGCTCCATCAGGGCAAACGCCCAAACCTTGTTTCTCAATGCATCCCTCCTTTTCTTCACCTTTGCAGAAGCCGAACTTTCCTCTGAAAAGCCTGACGTCCCCCGGGTCACCACCATTACTCGGAGAGCCAGCAACTTCCTCCATGCCCAATGGACGCCACAGGAGGGCGTGAGGACATGGCATGAAACTTGGCCAATTTATACCACGTTGAGTGGTATAAATCCAGCAAACCGTCAGCTCTGCCCTCTTTTAAACTTTCCCAGCCTGCACCTCATCACTAAAAGGCACTTGGATCGACAGCCCACTCTGGCTCTAACTGAGCGCATTGTCCTTCAGGGCGTCTGTGGCCAGTGGCTCTCAAAGTGGGGTCCCCAGACCAGCAGCATCAGCATCACCTGGGGACTGGTTATAGATGCATATTCTCAGGCCCTCCCAGGCCTCCTGAGTCAGAAATTCCCTGGGTGGGGCCCAGCTCTGTGTTTAACAAGCCCTCCAGGTGATTCTGATACGGGTTCAAGTTTAATGACAACTGTCCTAGATTATAAGCCTTCGCATCACGCGGACTGCACGAGTCCACCCATGTGCTTTCTTGGCTTCCATTCAGGACACGGATGGAGACACCCCCTGCTGACTCATAAAGGCCAACAAGTTTGCTCTGACCCCTGCTCAGCCTCTCTGCACTGTCCAGTTCCCATCACAGCATCTCCATTTTGGGGGGTGCCGCACCACGCAGCTTGCGGGACCTCAGTCCCTGACCAGGGATCGAACCCACGCCCTCGGCAGCGAAAGTGCAGAATCCTAACCACTGGACCACCAGGGAAGTCCCTTGATTCCCACAGCAGTATCTCCAGAGATTCTTCTTTCTCCCTAAGCTCCCATCCCTACTCACTCTCCCTTTCAATAACAATGTCCTCTCGTGTCCTGGTGAAGGCTGCTGGAGTGCAGAAAAAGGGGCTCCAACACCTGTAGTCAGAAGACCTCAGCTCCCCCCTTCCTGTGTGTGAGCTGAGGAGATGGGTTAAGTGGGCAGCGGATGTAAGGTATCTGCTCACCAGACATTGCTGCCCGGGGCCACCCTCTGCTTCTCTTCCTGCCCTTCTCTGATCTCCTTTCCTCACCTGTATAATCAGGATGGTAAGACCTATGTCTTACAGGCCATAGTGTAATTCATACGTAAGACAAGAGGATCAACGCAAAACCCTCTGTCAATTTCAAGCCTTGCTAACCAAAGTGGGGTACAGCAGCAATGGTACCCCAAGGGAGTGTGTGGGAAATGCAGAGTCTCAGGACCCACCCAGCCCTACCGAATCAGAATCTGCATTTCAGCAACACCCCCAGGGGATTCGTCTGCACTTAGAGACTGAGAAGTGTGATTGAAAGGACTAGGAAAGTCTATGATAAACATATTATTATCCTCAAGCCCCCATCGGCCTTTTTCTCCTCCCCACGTCCAGGAGAAGGACCACCCCCTTTCCAAAGTCTAAAGCTGTCATTCCTAACCAGTTGGCACATTAGAATCATCTGGGCCAAAACCCCAGGCCAATTACATTAGACTCTTTTGGAGAAGAGCCCAAATCAGTATATTTTAAATTCCCCTGGTGAGTCTAATGGGGGCCCAGGGGAGGCACACCCTACCCGCCAACCAGACTGAGCCTCCGTAACATGGATTCGTATCATCTCACGGGGAAATTTGCTGTCACACCATGAGCCTTATCTCTCTCTCCAGAGCTGTGCCTCGTGCCTCTCTGCTCACTCCCTGCCCTCACTTTTATCCACTGAGCCCCCCTTCACATCCCCACCCCCTAGCTTGCTTTTCCCTTGGGATCCTATCATTGTGCCCTATGGCTCTCCCTTGACCAGAGTCCAGTAAATATTCACGGACGTGGATTTTTAGCTTTGCCCATGCACAACACCGTCTTCTGGATGCGAAATCTCCCCTTGATCTGTCCTCCTTCCAACTATCACCCTGCCCTGCTTTCCTCCCGAGCCAGTCACGAACCAGTGGTCCCCACCGCCAGCCTCTGCACCCTCAGCAGGGGGACACCTGCCCACACTAAGCCAGATAACCTCTCCCACCTCCTCTGCGGCTGTCACCACAGCCTTCAGACTCTCGGCTCAACGCCGGAGGACTCTGGAAAATGTGGTTTGTTGTTAAGGGTTCATTGCTAGTAGGTAAACAAGGGAGGATTCTTCAAGGGACCTCCAGTTTCCATGAAACAATAGATCAAAGAGGAGCCAAAGAAAGAAGAAAGGTTTGCTTAGGTCCCACCTGGGAAACGCCTGCCCTGGACTGAGGCTCTAAAGGGCTCTTTTCCCTTCTGCGGCAAATGAGCTGCAAGGGAGTTCCACCTGGACCCAAAGCAGAAGCCAGACAGGACCAGAAGAGCACACACACCGGCAGACCTCGGAGATACCACGGGCTGGGTTCCACACCACATAACAAAGCAAGGATCCCAGCAAAGCAAGTCACACGAGTGTTTTGGTTTCCCAGTGCGCGTAAGTTATGTCTGCGCTCTACTGTAGCCTACTAAGTGCCCAATAGCATTAGGTCTAGAAAAACAATGTACATACCTTAATTTAATATACTTTTTGCCTTAAAAAAAAAAAAAGCTGGGGCTTCCCTGGTGGCGCAGTGGTTGAGAGTCCGCCTGCCGATGCAGGGGACACGGGTTCGTGCCCCGGTCCGGGAAGATCCCACATGCCACGGAGCGGCTGGGCCCGTGAGCCATGGCCGCTGAGCCTGCGCGTCCGGAGCCTGTGCCCTGCAAAGGGAGAGGCCACAACAGTGAGAGGCCCGCGTACCGCAAAAAACAAAAAAGCTAACCAACATCTGACAACACAGGGTTGCCACAAACCTTCAATTTGTTTAAAACGCAATAGCTGTAAAGCGCTGTAAAACTCAGTATGCCTGTACTTCTTAAGGAAACATGGAGAAAATCCCTGTGGGCTACACCCTGTAGATGAACAAAGGAACCAGAAACTTGTTGTTCTAGGAGTCATTAGGACACTGGTAAAGCTGTGTGACAATCGCCTCCCTGCCCTGTACACTCACACACACACACACACACCTGTCGCCTGCAGGTGCTAAGTTCCGGAAGCCAGTCTTGAAGATAAACCATTGCTCGTGACTTAACCTTCAGTCACTCACTCACCAAGTATGTGATCTACGCCTTCTCCGTGCGAGGTGAGAGGGACACACAAGGTCATTAGAGAAACACACAAAGTCATGACACAGCCCCTGACCCGAGGAAACATAAACAGATCACAAGGTGACGCCAGTGGTTACAAAAAAAGTAAGTAACCAGTGCTATGGGGCACCGGGTAGAGACCCACCCCAGGGGGCCAGGAGATAAGATGAGGTTTATGGTCCTGAGGCCACCAGAGCTCCAAGGATGAAAGCAGGGACTCACAGGGACCCCCACTGACCCCTTTCATCTTTTTTTTCCACTCCCCCTACGTTAATTTACTGAAATGAGGAAATCAAAGACCACTGTTTTTAAGGTGTTTTGTCAGAACTCTGAAATGGTTGCACTGTTCCCACCAGAGACTGTAAGAACATCTATTTCCACAAACGCTAAAATACCTCGGGTACTCTCATGGAGACACCGAGAACGCCACGCTGATAGGTGAAATCGGTATCTGCTGGCTGCGTTGATCTCGTCCATTACTCGTATAATTAAACACATTTCCAAGTTCAATGGCAGGAATCCATCTTTAACTTGCTTCTTCCTTCTTCACCCCCTCCCCCAGCCATGTTGTTTTTCCTTTGATGGTGTCCCTTTGCTTTGTCCCTGTCTCTGCATCTCCGATGTCCCTAGGCCCACGTCACCACTCCCCTATTTCCATGGCCTCACTTGTCTCCCTGGCCCCAGTCTTCCCCTCCTCCAGCCCACCCCCTGCATCACGTTTATCTTGCTAAAGCGTCACTCTCGTCAGATTACACCCCCCATAAGAAGCTCAGGGATTCCCAGTTGCACAACACTTGAGTCCTCTGCTCACTTTCCAGGCTCTCCACGGGGCCCCTGCCTGCCCTCCTCATGTCCATCCACCCCTGGTCTCAGCACGGCCTTCTTCCCACCCCTGCTGCCCCAGCCAACACCGCGCTCCTCGAAGGCATCACACTTCTGACCCCTCCGTGAACCTCTTCCTGGTCGCTGGACAGGAAATCGGCAACTTGTCTTTCTAAGTTGCAATGTAGTTCACCATCTGTGACTAAGAATCCAGTTTCCTAGAGAAACACGTGACATGTTGATAGGCTGCCTCACCAGAACAGCCGAAACCCAGAACAGAGCTGCACCACAGTGCCGATGGTCCTGCCCCGAACTCAGGGCTCTGGGAGGCGTGTGGTACTTCTAGAAACGGCGCATCCCATCAGAGAGACCGCAGCTCTGTAAAATCCCTCCTCTACCAGCACTGCTCTGTGACCTTCGGAAGGTTAGCTCACTCTCTGAGCTTTGGTTTCCTTGGTGGCACAAGTTGGGGTTTCCAGGATGTAGATGCTGAGATGGAGTTTGGTTTGCAGGGTATTTATTAAGAACGGACACCAGCAGAGAGGGAAATGGAGAAGTCAAGTTTGGGCAGAGAGAGATGCTGAACTTCAACAAAGCCTCAGCCCGCCCCGTGGGGACCTCGGGAGCATATGTGGTCCATCAGAGCCGTCCCTTGGTGGCCAGGCTTTTGTACTCCTGCTGGGATCCATTATTGCTGTGGACGGCCCAGGGTACACGTGACATTGAACTAGAAGCTGACGACTGGAGGCTCTCTGCTGACTGCACTCCCCACTGCTGGAGCTACCAGCCTTTCCTTGGAGGACCTGGGCAGCGCACCTTCATGCCCACCGCACTTGGTTGTAGAAGGAGGATGACAATGATAGGACCTACCTTATGTTGTTGTGACATTGAAATAAGCTCCGCATTCAGCACACAGCATACCTGGTACAGAGTGGGCCCTCAGTACACGTTTGCTGTGATTACCATTGGCATCATGGGTAGAGTAAGACTGGAGGAAGAGTTGTGCCCTTTCTTTAATTCATCTGATGCATACATATGGGCCACACCACGCGTCAGGCACTGTTCTAAGACTGGAAGTGCTGGTCTGAGGATACGTGCGGTCAATCGGTGGCCAGGGCAGTGCTCATCAAGAAGAGAACATTTGAGCCAAGACTCGAAGGAGGCGAGAAGCAGGTGGTGCAGCCATGCAACAGCCCTGTGGAGGGAGAGTGCCTAGAATGTTCAGGCCAAGGGTGGGGGCAGAACAGAATGATCAAGGGGAGAGGGGTAGGTGAGGTCAGAGAGGGAACGAGACCGCTTCCCAGGTGGGGTTTTGTGCCAAAACAAATCACGCTCGGATGTGGTCAGATCTCACCACCAACCGGAGGTTCAGAAA